CTACTCCGTACTCTCCCAACCAATGTACCACTACTCCGACGTCATTCCCAAAGCAATGGCCACTACACCATTCTCATCCCAGCCAATGGCCACTACTCCATTCTCATCCCAGCCAATGGCCACTACTCCATTCTCATCCCAGCCAATGGCCACTACTCATTCTCATCCAAGCAATGGCCCATCCCCAAAGGGACCACTACTCCATTCTCATCCCAGCCAATGGCCACTACTCAATACTCATCCCAGCCAATGGCCACTATCATACTTATCCCAACCAAAGGACCACTACTCCGTACTCCCCAACCAATGGCCACTACTCCGTACTCATCCCAACCAATGGCAACTACTCCGTACTCATCCCAACCAATGGCCACTACTCCGTACTCATCCCCCCCCCCCCCCCAACCAATGGCCCACTACTCCGTACTCATCCCAACCAATGGCAACTACTCCGTACTCATCCAACAACCTGGCCACTACTCCGTACTCATCCCAACCAATGGCCACTACTCCGTACTCTTACTACTTGACCTCTCTGTGGCTTTTGATACGGTTGACCACCCCCTCCTCACTCCTCAAAAAACTCCACTCTTCTTGGCCTCCGAGACTCTGCTCTCTCCTGGTTCTCCTCCTACCCATTGCAGCGCTCCTTCAGTGTTACCTATAACTCCGCCGCCTCCAACCTCTTCACTCCCTCTCTCTGTAGGGGGTCCCTCTATGTTCTGTCCTTGGACCCCTTCTCTTCTCCATCTACACCTCCTCCCTTGGTCACTTGATAAAACTCTCCATGGCTTTAAGTACCACCTCTATGCTGATGACACACAAAAATCTATCTTTCTACCCCTCACCTCACCCCTTCAGTCTCCTCCTCACCTCCCCTTCAGTCTCCTCCTCACCTCGCCCACTTCAGTCTCCTCCTCACCTCACCTCCCCTTCAGTCTCCTCCTCACCTCGCCCCTTCAGTCTCCTTACCTCCACCCTCGCCCCTTCAGTCTCCTTCTCCACCTCACCCCTTCAGTCTCCTTCTCCACCTCACCCCTTCAGTCTCCTTCTCCACCTCGCCCCTTCAGTCTCCTCCACACCTCGCCCCTTCAGTCTCCTCCTCACCTCACCCCTTCAGTCTCCTCCTCACCTCGCCCCTTCAGTCTCCTCCTCACCTCGCCCCTTCAGTCTCCTTCTCCACACCTCACCCTTCAGTCTCCTCCTCACCTCACCCCTTCAGTCTCCTCCTCACCTCACCCCTTCAGTCTCCTCCTCACCTCACCCCTTCAGTCTCCTCCTCACCTCATCCCTTCAGTCTCCTCCTCACGTCACCCCTTCAGTCTCCTCCTCACCTCACCCCTTCAGTCTCCTCCTCACCTCACCCCTTCAGTCTCCTCCTCCCCACCCCTTCAGTCTCCTCCTCACCCCTTCAGTCTCCTCTCCCATTACTAACCTACTAAGTGACATATCGGCATGGATGTCACTCCACTTCCTCAAACTCAATCTTTCCAAAACTGAGCTCTTAGTATTCCCCCCAGCCCGTGCCCCCTCCCCCGACTTCTCCATCAAAGATCAATAATACAACCATCAGTCCCTCCCCTCATGCCAGGGTACTAGGTGTAATCCTAGACTCCCATCTGTCCTTTCACCCCCAAATCAATCACTGTCCAAATCTTATAGACTTCACCTCCATGACAACACCTCCAACCTCCGCAACATCTACAACCTCCGCAACACTCCAATCTCCGCTACCACCACCTCCAGCCTCCGCTACACCTCCAACCAACCGCACACTTAGTCCAACCTCCGCAGCATCCCAACCTCCGCAGCATCTCCTCCCGCAGGCTCTCCAACCTCCGCAACACCTCCAACCTCCTGCAACACACCTCCCACCGCCGCTACACCTCCAAACTCCACAACATCTCCAAGATACGCCCCCCTTCCTAACTTGGAAACCACTAAGCAACTTATTCACTCCCTTGTTATATCTCGCCTTGACTATTGTAACTCCCTCCTCATTGGTGGACCTCATCACAGGCTATCCCCTCTTCAGTCTATCATGAATGCTGCTGCCAGACTCATCCACCTTAGTAAACTGTTCTGTATCTGCCACCCCCTCTCTGCCAATCCCTCCAGTGGCCTCCACTCAGTGTCCTCCACCCCTCTCTGCCAATCTTTTCCCGGCCTCCATTCAGTGTCCTCCACCTCTCTGCCAATCCCTCCACTGGCCTCCATTCAGTGTCCTCCATCCCTCTCTGCCAATCCCTCCACTGACCTCCATTCAGTTCCTCCACCCCTCTCTGCCAATCCCTCCACTGGCCTCCATTCAGTGTCCTCCATCCCTCTCTGCCAATCCCTCACTGACCTCCATTCAGTGCATCCTCCACCCCTCTGTGCCAATCCCTCCACTGGCCTCCACTCAGTGTTCTCCACTCCTCTCTGCCAATCCCTCCACTGGTCTCCACTCCTGTCCAGTGTCCTCCACCCCTCTCTGCCAATCCCTCCACTGGCTTCCCGTTGCCCAACAGATAAAATTTAAAATACTAACAATAACATATATAAAGCTATTTATAACTCCGCCCCAAATTACATCACCGATCTTGTCTCTAAATATCACCCAAACCTTCCTCTCCGCTCCTCGCAAGACCTCCTGCTCTCTAGCTCCCTTGTCTCCTCCTCCCCTGCTCGTCTCCAGGACTTTTCCAGAGCTTCCCCCCTCCTCTGAAACTCTCTACCCCAATTTATCAGACTATCGCCTACTCTGCTCACTTTTAGGTGATCTCTGAAAACTGATCTTTCAGGGAAGCCTATCCTGCCCTCAGCTAATACTGGAATCTTCTACTCCTCCTACCAGTCCATCCCCACAGTTCTTACCTTTTGTACCACCAGCCCCTCCCTCCTAGATTGTAAGCAGGATCCCTCCCTCAGGTCCAGGATCCTCCTATCCCTCTTGTATTGATCTGTATTGTTGCTGTATTGTCTCCCTGTTATATTGTACAGCGCTGAGCAAAACTGTTGGCCCATAAATCCTGTATAATAATAATAATATAAATCCTGTATAATAATTACCTCCTCTACTGACCACATCCAGCAACCTCTCCGATCTCCTTCAGACCAAAGGGAACTTTGTGTCTTTATTCCAGATCAATTCCTGTCTGTTTCTGACATCACTTCCTGTCTGTTCCTGAGATCACTTCCTGTCTGTATTCCATAGAGAAGTCCTGTCTGGGTAGTAGAAATGAGATCACCATCTTGTGGAGTTCAGAGGAACTGCAGCCCCGAGAAATGTCCCCCTAATACCATTCCTGCCTGCATTGTATTACCTTACAGAGATATCAGGGAGGAGTTCCAAAATAACTAAAAAAAAGTAAGAAACAATAAACCTAACTCTTATGCAACCAACTGTTTAAAAAAGATTTTACTACAGATAGAAAAGTCTTAAAGACACAGAACACAAGATAAAAACAAAGGTATACATAATAAAACAGAGACCCCCCAAAATGAGACACTACCCAGAATGTCCCGTCCTTCATATCAGAGAGAGACAGACTACCCAATGTCCCGTCCTTCATATCAGAGAGAGACAGACTACCCAGAATGTCCCGTCCTTCATATCAGAGAGAGAGAGAGACAGACTACCCAGAATGTCCCGTCCTTCATATCAGAGAGAGAGAGAGACAGACTACCCAGAATGTCCCCGTCCTTCATATCAGAGAGAGACAGACTACCCAGAATGTCCCATCCTTCATATCAGAGAGAGAGACAGACTACCCAGAATGTCCCGTCCTTCATATCAGAGAGAGACAGACTACCCAGAATGTCCCGTCCTTCATATCAGAGAGAGACAGACTACCCAGAATGTCCCGTCCTTCATATCAGAGAGAGACAGACTACCCAGAATGTCCCATCCTTCATATCAGAGAGAGACAGACTACCCAGAATGTCCCGTCCTTCATATCAGAGAGAGAGACAGACTACCCAGAATGTCCCGTCCTTCATATCAGAGAGAGACAGACTACCCAGAATGTCCCGTCCTTCATATCAGAGAGAGAGACAGACTACCCCAGAATGTCCCGTCCTTCCATATCAGAGAGAGACAGACTACCCAGAATGTCCCGTCCTTCATATCAGAGAGAGACAGACTACCCAGAATGTCCCGTCCTTCATATCAGAGAGAGACAGACTACCCAGAATGTCCCGTCCTTCATATCAGAGAGAGACAGACTACCCAGAATGTCCCGTCCTTCATATCAGAGAGAGAGACAGACTACCCAGAATGTCCCATCCTTCATATCAAGAGAGAGACAGAGACTACCTAGAGAATGTCCCGTCCTTCATATCAGAGAGAGAGACAGACTACCCAGAATGTCCCGTCCTTCATATCAGAGAGAGACAGACTACCCAGAATGTCCCATCCTTCATATCAGAGAGAGACAGACTACCCAGAATGTCCCGTCCTTCATATCAGAGAGAGAGAGAGACTACCCAGAATGTCCCGTCCTTCATATCAGAGAGAGACAGACTACCCAGAATGTCCCGTCCTTCATATCAGAGAGAGAGACAGACTACCCAGAATGTCCCGTCCTTCATATCAGAGAGAGACAGACTACCCAGAATGTCCCATCCTTCATATCAGAGAGAGAGACAGACTACCCAGAATGTCCCGTCCTTCATATCAGAGAGAGAGAGACAGACTACCCAGAATGTCCCGTCCTTCATATCAGAGAGAGAGACAGACTACCCAGAATGTCCCCCAGAATCCTTCATATCAGAGAGAGACAGACTACCCAGAATGTCCCGTCCTTCATATCAGAGAGAGAGACAGACTACCCAGAATGTCCCGTCCTTCATATCAGAGAGAGAGAGACTACCCAGAATGTCCCGTCCTTCATATCAGAGAGAGAGACAGACTACCCAGAATGTCCCATCCTTCATATCAGAGAGAGAGACAGACTACCCAGAATGTCCCATCCTTCATATCAGAGAGAGACAGACTACCCAGAATGTCCCGTCCTTCATATCAGAGAGAGAACAAACTACCCAGAATGTCCCGTCCTTCATATCAGAGAGACAGACTACCCAGAATGTCCCGTCCTTCATATCAGAGAGAGACAGACTACTCCAGAATGTCCCATCCTTCATATCAGAGACTGAGACAGACTACCCAGAATGTCCCGTCCTTCATATCAGAGAGACCCAGACAGACCTTCATACCCAGAATGTCCCGTCCTTCATATCAGAGAGAGACAGACTACCCAGAATGTCCCGTCCTCCTTCATATCAGAGAGAGACAGACTACCCAGAATGTCCCATCCTTCTTATCAGAGAGAGACAGACTACCCAAAATGTCCCGTCCTTCATATCAAAGAGAGACAGACTACCCAGAATGTCCCATCCTTCATATCAGAGAGAGACAGACTACAAAGAATGTCCCCTCCTTCATATCAGAGAGAGAGACAGGCTACCCAGAATGTCCCACCCTTCATATCAGAGAGAGACAAACTACCGAGAATGTTCCGTCCTTCATATCAGAGAGAGACAGACAGACTACCCAGAATGTCCCATCCTTCATATCAGAGAGAGAGACAGACACCCAGAATGTCCCATCCTTCATATCAGAGAGAGACAGACTACGCAGAATGTCCCGTCCTTCATATCAGAGAGAGAGGCAGACTACCCAGAATGTCCCGTCCTTCATATCAGAGAGAGAGACAGACTACTACCCAGAATGTCCCGTCCTTCATATCAGAGAGAGACAGACTACCCAGAATATCCTTTCATTCTTATCAAAGAGAGAGACAAACTACCCAGAACGTCCCATCCCGTCCTTCTTTCAGAGAGAGAGACAGACTACCCAGAATATCCCGTCCTTCATATTGATTTAGTAGAGGACTAAAAATGTCCGGTGCTTATCTGTTCCTGTCCTAATTTATGATGCTAGCTTTGAAATGTGTGCACATTGGAAGAGACTCACGCTGACACACAAGTTCAGTCTATGAATACTTCTAGTTCATTATAATGAGAAAGTGAACTTATATATGCAGAATGATGCGAGAGTCATGTGACAACAGCATAAGCATTTATATTAGTCTCTGATTGGTCATTTCCACACGAAAACAATCTCCGTCATGGTATAGGTGTGATCTTCTTCCAGGCCTTATCTTATAGGAAAACATTCTTTTGTTTTCAAAATCACATGATGGGAGGGGGTCTGTATGTGTGAGCAGACATTTCTTAAGCAAGGATTTCTTATAGTACCACAAAGCCCAGCAGGCAGAAAATATTCACACAACATATGTATTAAAGTATTAAAGTATAAAAGTAAATATTTATAAAACTTATAGAAATAGCGTATATATATATATATTCAATAGGAAATGAAATAGGCATTTTACCAAATCCATCACAGTCCCCCCTTAAAATGACTATTTTCCTCTGTCCCTATAAGACCTCGCTCATCTGTCCCTATAAGACCTCGTTCATCTGTCCCTATAACACCTCGCTCTCATCTGTCCTTATGTACCTTGGAACTCTTTTATGCTGCACGTTAGACAGGTGATGACTGTGGCGGAACCGTTCCGCCTGGGCTTCCTCGTGCGGAGCAGGTGCGTCTCACCCAATGGTCCTCATTTCCGGCAAGTCTTCCAGCATTCTCCCAAGGCAGGTATTATAGCCAAAAACACGAGTCAGAACTTCGTGTAGGGTGAAACTGACAATCTTTATTAAACACAGCTCAGTATATACAACTTCACCCCACCCCCACCAGACAGACTGGCACCAGGTTTTCCCCACCCACAACAAACCATACAATACAACAATACCTAGGAACTCTATAGAAGTGAAAGACTACAAGGTCACATTTTCCTAAACAAACAGTGTAGAATGTCTGTGAAACATGTCCAGCTTTACAAAGGGGATAAAAACCAGAACAGAAAGGGCAAAATGGTATCACAAAGGGACAATTCGTCACAAGGCTCCCCCGTTGTGTAACACCTGCCAGACCCGGCGAGACCTTCAAACAAAGGTCCGCTTGGGGCTGGTCGGTTCAGAGGTTCACTTCTCCAACTCGGCTTGCCGGGACAACCCATCTGCATTGGTGTTTTGCTTCCCCGATCGGTACTGATTGAGCTTCAGCAGGGGTCTCGGTGCCAAAAAAGTGGAGACCAGGACTCCCAGATCATTTCCAAGGAGAACCTCAGCTGGAAAGTTCTGCATTACTCCAATTTCAAACATCCCTGACCCCAGCCCCCCAATCCAGATGAAGCCTTGCGGTAGGAATCCGGTAGACATGGCCTCCCGCTACCCGTAACGCCACAGATCGCCCGGTCTTGGCCCAGTCTGGTACCAGTTGAGGTTGGACTAGGGTGAGTGTGGCTCCAGTGTCCCGTAATCC